ACGTGTCAGAGTCGACACTGGAGCCCAAAATAAGTTTGTCTAAGCTGAAACTTCAAAAATTCATAACTAATTCATCGTTTATCCAATTGAGCCTATTTTCGGACAGCAGTAAGTTCTCGATGCCGGCTAGATTTTATTTTCACATTTCAACTTCAAAAATTGCACGTAAGCCCCTGCGATTTAGCCTGGAACGTGACGAACTCAAGTGAACATTGGAGGCCCAATTGCACATTCAAAGCCCATTTTCTCTCTCTCTAATTTCCATTATATAATCTCATTTTTTTCACACAAACAAAAGAGGAGAAAAAAAAACTTTTGCCACAATGCTGTCACAATATCAAATTCTTTCAAGAATCCTAAAACCTTGAAATCCTTACTACAAACCTCCATCTCACTACAAACAAGTCATCCCCGTTACAAACCCACATCTCACTACTTCTCCATAAGGGTAAGGCTGGCTTGATCTCCATGATCAAAAGGACATAAAAGCATTCATATCACTACTTCTCCAGTAAGGGTAAGACTGGCTTGATCTCCATGATCAAAAGGACATAAAAGCATTCATATCACTACTTCTCCAGTAAGGGTAAGGCTGATTTGATCTCCATGATCAAAAGGGTATAATCATTCATACATGCCATATCGGTTTTAACATTATATTTTCCATATATTGGCTTTATATGTATTTCATAATATATAGTCATTTATTTAATGTGTTCATGAGATTCAACACTGCATATTTAGACAGGATCCCATGCAGGTTCATTACAGAACGTTGAGGCTAAAACACAAATGACCAAAACAGAACAGCCAACACATGACACCAATACATGGCGAGGCAGACATCCTGAGAAGGTTAAGGGTGTGGGTTCAACAACCACCCCTATTGGTTTTGATTTTCTTCCTTTCTATTTATCCTTTTACCTATTTTTATTCTTTCTGTTTAAAACTTTTTTTTTCATAAAACTTAACATTTTTCACAAACCTTTGATTTTTCCTCCTAAACTCGAATAATTAATTTTAGGTTTTAATTTAATTTTAGGTAACTTTAATTGTTTTGTAAATAAATTAAAATTAATTAGAACAATTAGGATCTTGTTTCTAACTTAATTCTATTTTCTTTTTTCTTAAAATAATAAAACACAAAAATAGGCCATTTAATTATTTTTTTAAACTAATTTAATTACTAATTAATTTTGTATTTAATTTATAAAAAAATCTAATTCTTTTTTCTTAGAAATAATTAAAAACAACAAAAAATAATTTTTCTTTCGATTAGGTTAGACGGGGTCAAAACCCTAATTCTCTCTCGTTCTTTATTCACACGCGCTTTATTTTATTTTACCATGTTAATGTAATTGCTCACAAGTTGTAATAGATTAATTAGGACCTTTTTACTTTCATTTATGGTTTTTTGTAAGGGTTTGTTTTTGGCTATGTAAATACCCGAAACCTTGTAATAGCTTAGCTTATTTTCCTCACTTTAAATTCCGCAAATATAAACTGTCTAGATGTATGGCTAATAGGATTGTATGGCAAGAATGTCAGGAAAATTAAAATGGTAGATCACCTAATGTGCAAAGATTAAATAACTGAAACAAATCATATGCACATATTCACTCCTAGGGTACTCCTCACTTGGTTGCCTCGGAAAAAAATGGTCATGTCCCTCGAACGTAGGAATATCTTAGCAAAAGACCCTCCATCTAAAAGTCATCATAAAGATCATAGTCCCTTAACGTCCCTCGAAGTTGCCTACGGTATATGATCTTGTCCCTCGATGTTGCCTACGAATATATGATGACAGTCCCTTCGAAATGCTAAGGTATCCTTACATGTTTACTTCAATGACCATCACGTCCCTTTCGAATTGACCCTTACAAACTCCAACGACAATGCTTCCTATTTCTCAATAGTAGGGTAGCATTGTCTAAAGGAAACGAGAATAGAAACAATCCTTTTTTCTAGTAGGTAGATAACTGTTAGGTACTTGCTCAAAACAACAAACTTTTCACACTTACACTTTTTTCAAACAAAGTTTTCAAAACGACTTCATTACACTCTTGAGGATTGATACAAGGGTTAGAACAAAGTAAAACAAAACTTTTCAAAGCAAGCACACACACAAGCAATTTTAAAATGATGAGCAAGTACCTAAGAGCCCGTAGAAAACTATGGATAGAAAGGATGCTAATACCTTCCTATTCTATAATCTAACCCCCGTACTCAGAAAATCTTGAAAAAGGAATTTTTCTGTGCTTTTTTCCTTTCCTGTTGGATAAAATAAAAGTCGGTGGCGACTCTTTCTTACCGCGACATTTACACATACAAAACGCAAACCAGTATTAACAGTCGGTTTTTCCACCGTATCACAAGCAGCAAGAAGGTTGAATTGAAGGGTCCATCTCACACTGGCTGCTACGCCCAAATCGAAAGAAGCCAGGAAGAGCATAATCGAAGGGTGCATTCTTCCTGATCGAAGAACTTGTTTTCCTTTCTTTTATTTGGTATTTGTCTTTATATTTTCTTGCTATTCAATATGGTTGTAATTGTTTAGGATATTTACTTTCTACATTTTTTAATTAGGGTGTATGGCAAGATAAAATCAATAAGTAAACCACCCTAATTAAAGACAAAATACATGCAATCAAACACACTTTGCACACATGCACCTCTAGGGTGATCCCCCTTGTTGCCTCCGAAAATAGTCATGTCCCTCGAATATTAGCATTTTAGAAAAGACCCTCGATAAAAGATTATAGTCCCTCGATGACCCTCGATGTTGCATTCGATAAACGATCTAGTCCATAACGAAATTGCTAAAACGTCTTATAGGTTGCCTTCTATGACTATACAAATGACCCACGCTTGTCCCTTCACATCCAATGATGGGGCTTCTTATCAATCAATGGTAAGATAGCAACATCTAAAGGAGGAGGAAAAGAACAAAGACCTTTTGAGTAGGTAGGATGCTCATAGTTGCTTGCTTGCTCACAACTAAAAAATATTTTCACACCAACACTTTCAATTGAAACATTTTCAAAAGTCAAAACACTTTGTACGCATTCTTATAGATACGAGAATCATTACAAAGGCACTTTTCAAAATCACTTTCAAAAACATCTTCCACAACAAACATCTCTTTGAACTATTTTCAAAACCAACACTTTGTACGCATTCTTATAGAGACGAGAATCACTACAAAGACATTTTCAAAATATTTTCAAACCCACACCACAAACATATTTTCAAACAAAAGCAAGTGATCTATCAAGCAACTAAGAGCCCGTGGAAAACTACGGATGAAAAGGGTGATAATACCTTCCCTTTTCATAACCTACCCCCCAAACTCAAGAAAACATCTCTAAAGGTCTTTCCTATTATTTTCAAACTTTCCTTTGTTGGATAAAAGAAAAGTCGGTGGCGACTCTTTCTATTCGCAATAATTGCGATCAAACGCAAAACACCTAAGTCAGTTCTCCCACCGTATTACACTTTCAATCATCGTGTCCTGATCTGTGTTTTCCTCTGAGTCATCGTGTCCTGATCGATGTACTATGACGTCGTTGTGTCTTGATCAATGTATACCTCTGGTTTAGTCCCACTTCTTTTAATTCCCCAGTGGATGTTACAAAAACAATACTCATTACCACCATATTTCAGAATAAATTTTTGGCATTGGTATTTAATCATCTTCTACCTCGAACATCTGAAAGGCGCACGCCAATCGTACTTTCAGGTTTAAGACGATTAAATAGGGGCAACTATAGTACCCCAAATTTATCCTACCCTTTCACTTTTATCTGGCTTAAGCTTTTGCGTTCATCTGCATATATTATATTAGGTCACTAACGTGGCATACATTTACATTCAATAAAGCATTTGAGGTTCAAAAGTTCAATGATCATGCAAGCTAAGGGTTTCATAGTGTTTTGAGATGCACATATCGAATAAGGTTGATTTGTATGTTTCTCCTCCAAGCATTAAATTGAAAAATTAGGGTTTCTCTGGCTTTGAGGTTTCCCTTTCCATTCAAGGGTCTTCAATGTATTCCTTCATTAACCTTGGTCTGAGGAGCTAGGGTTTGTGATGGTGACCATTGAAGACTTATTTCTTTCTCACTAATGATTCTGACTGAGAAGACTGTGAACTATGGCTTTGATGATAAGTTGTGTCATCATTCAGCATATACCTCAGGAAGATTAGAGTTTACATCCTATCATACTTGGGTTTGTCAACATTTTCACTGGATGTTCATTGGATAGCAAGGCATGATATAAGGATGGTATTATGAATTCATTAAGATCAAGTCGTGTTGATTCTCTTATTGTTTGTTATACAATATTGATGTGGATTAAAGAATTGAATTGGTATGGATTCATGTCGTGGATTCAAGTCAATTCATTCAATGGATTTAAAATTGGCTAAAGCATGAAAGTTTGAAGGTTTTGTTCACATGAAACAAGTAGTAAGGTTTGTCCAAGTCTTAATTCAAGTATCATCCAAGCATTGATTCAAAATCCATTCAAATTTGTTATCATTCATCATCTTCAAATCACCATTTTTAAGTTCAAATAAAAGAAGAGAAAAACTTTCAAATTCGGAGTTCAAGTCATCATGGTTCATTTTATATGAAAAAATTAAGGAAAACTTGGTATTCAAATGCAAATTGGATGGAAAGTTTATTCAAGAACCACTCATTACATCCAAGAAGTTCTTATTACAAGTTCATGTCATTCGCATTTCAAGCCACACTACTGTCACAAGGCCATGATCCATTACAAATTGCCATTACATCTTGAAATATTGAACAAAAGAAGAGATTTACTATTACTGTTCATGATTCCTAAGGTACTAAAATTTAGAGGTTGGCCTAAACTCTAAGAAAACCCCACGACCAATCTCTCATTTCACATGGATGCTCATTGAACCATCATCATTTTAAGCTTCATGACAAGCTCCAAGATCCTTTCCTAACAGGTCCCAAACTTGCAAACTTGTTAAAATTTCCACCAAGAAATAGCCCTGCACAATTGAAAATTCAATTAAGAAATTAACGTCACAAAACAAATCCAAACTACTAACTGATAAAAATATCTCAGCAACTTAAAGCAATTCAACTTGCATCAATAAACTTGTTCATACCAAACTAGTTCATACCAAAACAGTTCACCAAATAAACTTGATGCCCTATTCAGTTTAATGCATAACCGCAACCCTGCATCAGTAAAATCAGAAAAATGCTTTCAAACTAAAACAAAAAGTGCAGAGAATTTTTTTGAAACAATTCAAATAAAAAGCCAATTCACTAACAGTTCATAAGATAATTCCCTAGTTAGCTGTTTTTTAACCTCTTAACTGTAACTAAATCCAAAATAGAATTTCAACCAATCTTCTAACAGCTCTAACAGATTCACTTCTCTACTAACTGCTTTCTAACATCTCAACTAACTATCTAATTTCTGTTACACTAACAACTGATCCAATAACAGAAAAGAGAGGAGGAGGATAACATAATATATAACAGAAAAACTCACCATAAAAGAGGCTCAGAAAAAAATTATCCTTCTCTCGTCATTCTCTCCGGCCTCTCTTTGAACTTTCCCCGAATTCTTCATCATCTCAGGAGAACCACCACCAAAAAAAGACCTCACCTTCAATTCTCTCTCTCCCTTTTAACTTCATCTTCGTCTTCCTCACATCACTTCAACTTTAAATCTTCGTCGTTTCTGCAACTTCCTTACATCTGCAAGTTCAACGACAACTCTTTGCACTCGGAAACAAGCTACGACAATTGCATCCTTTTCATCTTCATCGCATCAACCGTCTTTATCATATTCATATCAAGCATCTCCGAGAAACGATTCAACGGTATCAAGCATCTTCATCAACTTCACTACAGATTCGATCATCATCATCTTCTTTGCAACCAAGGCCGCAACAACGTCTCTCCTCATAAACCGTAACAAAAGTGCAAAAATATAGAAGAGGCAGAAGAACTAATTTGAATTGAAGAAGTAAAGTGCAAAGACTGAAAAGCACGTATGAGTGCATACCTGAGTTGTTCGTCTCTGGATTTCTTGGTTTCGTCGGCTCATTCGAAATGCCGTCAGAGTGACTCCGACTAGTAAGTACCGGAAACCTCTCTATCTCTATTTTTTCTTCATTTTTCTCGATGCTATAATGCTATCTGAGGCGTTATGGACATTAGCCCTTGGGCCTTACCTTTGAATTCTCCTTCATCGTTGTTCAATTGAGATTTTAAGTTTTTTGGTTTTTAGATATAATGAGACTGAGGATAAATTGAAAAACAAGGTGAAGAAGTGGAAGGTAAAGGTTGAGATGATACCGTTGGTGGTGGTAATCAAAGAATCTAGACCTTAGGACCGGTGCGGAGGCGCAATATTGATTCGGCAGAGAAGGAATTGAGCCGCTGCGGATAAGGGAAGAGAATCTTCTTTGAAAGGAGTTGAAGTGTTACATTTTTGATAACCCTAACGCAAGAGTATAAAACATAACCGTTTTGGGTTTTATTTTTTATTATTTCATTATTTTGTTTGCTATTTTTAGATGATCATAATAATAATGAGAAGCTGGATAATGGATTGGTGATGTTGTGGGCCATTCGCTGTTACACCCCCTTTAAGGCCTGTTTTACCATTTTTTGGAACCTGTTTGCAATTGAACAAAAATGAAACAGCAATGGGCCTCATTCTGACTAGGCCAACACACAGTTTGCTGGATCACACTCCTTGGACTCAAATTAGTACCCTCCTGAATTTATTAATTCTTTGTTAGATTTAGGTTTTTTTTGTTAATTTTTGTCAATGTAATACATGATAAAAATATAATAAAAGCAATATAAAGTAGTAGATTTTAATAGAAATTTTAGGAATTAATTTTAGTTTTTTCGATAAAATTTTATTTACATAAAAAACTAATAAAAAATATACTTTTTCTTTTAGTTTTTATCCATATTTTCATGCCGCTTTGCCATGTTATTTTTGATGTGTTCGTTCATTGTGCAAGGTACCTTTTTGTGCTTTCGATCATGTATCATAACAGGTAGCTATGTGATTGAAACATACGACTTATGCTCGCTTCCGATGCGACACACCTTATTTCTCATCGTCTTGGGAAATTCATATCTTATTCTATGTTGTCCTGGTACATACAATACTTCGTGATACTTTGCACATGAACTTCTGATTACTCGTTGCATTTGCAACACACGTTTTCCTTTATCTTAGTTGGATATCATTTCTGACTTTGTTTGTTTCTTGGTGAAGCTTGCTCGATGCGTACTCCCTGCTTCTCCATTGCTTTCATCCACTCTTTACGATTTTCTTGCTTGTGGCAGTCGCCGCTACTATCTTCGTACTTCTCCGCACTTTACTGCATTTCTTTACTGCTTTTCTAGAAATCATAAGGAGTAGGTATTTACTGCTTTCTGATTCCATGAGAAGTAGGGTAGAGATGTATGATGGGGGTCTTTGTTGCTGATCATGTCAGGAACCCCTCTGGTTTATTTAAAGACCCGTTTAGGGAAATTCTGCATTGTTTGCCATTGTGTGTTACTTGTGTGTTGTTTGTTTAAAACCCTACCTTTGTGTAGGTATTTTGCAGGTGTGTTTATATTCGTGCTTGCATTATTCCCCCATCCCTTTTTAATTCCTCAAAAGGAGGAGAGCGGGGAGGGTTAGTAATCAACCCCCGCAATTTCGTATGTGTCATCCTTAGCTCATGACGCACCACGAAGCTTCGGAGTTGTGGCTGCTCTTGTGTATCGAGTCGTCATCTGGGGAAAGGTTCCGCAATAGAACCCCCACGCTTTGCTAGGAGTTTGCATTGATCGATGTTGATACTCCGTGATCGTTCATATCGTCTTCTATCACCTACTTCGATCTCCTATATCTTGGTTAGGTGTTCAGTCGCTTTGGATATCACATTTTTACTTTTTCATCTCACTCCCGCTTGTTTGTCTCAGGTGATATGCTCCCTTTGGCTAAATCATTTCTCTTCTTTTCCTTACTCTTTTATGTGTGCGCTCTTTTGAGCTTGCTTGTTTTATCCTTGTACATACCATGTTTCTTAGGATGTTCTTGCTCCTTTAGGATGCAAGTTAGACTTTAGGTTTTAAGCCATGCATGCTAACATTAGGTAGATGTTTCCCTTTCGTTAATCAAAATCTTAGGACCACCATTATATGATAACATTAGGTTATAAATAGGCTAGTCTCCCTTAGACTATTTTCTTCCCTTTTTGCATCCTTGCATCTAAAACTAAAATCTTTTTTAGCAAATTATAAAACATGCTAATCATACTTAAACCCTTTTTCAAGGTAACAAAACACAAACAAATCAAAAGTGGCATCTTGCCTCTAGGGCGTAACTCAAAACCCTTTTCAGGTAGGGACATGATTGATTTACTTCTGTGCCAACGCGTGAGTCTCCAAAGGTCAAGCTGCGGTAGAAGGCGGAATTAACACTGTTCATGAAAAACACGAGAAAACAAAAATATGTAAGCCGAACTACGGTAGCTCTGATTCCTCAAAAAGGATACGTAGGTATTGAGGTAGGGCCCAAGCGAGTACAACTTTATTTTCCCTACATTCTTTTCTCCTTTCTTTTGCATGCATCATTCCTTAACAATAAACAATAAGCATAGATTAAGCACGCCCATAAGATAAACAACAAGAGTGGATACTGTAGAGTACTACGGGCGTGTGGGGTACTAATACCTTCCCCTCACGTAACAGACTCCCTTAACCGATATCTCGGTTGCAAGACCGTGACTTCTCCCTTCTCAGGTTTTCTCGATGTTTACCTTTCCCTTCATGTGGGATAAAATACGTTCGATGGTGACTTCATTGTTTGATGATTTTTAGCCAGTTGTTTCACTGCCTTCCAGTTGCTAAGTCTGTTTCCAATGGTAGGAAATATCCAGCTATCGAAGTCACTATCATTGTCAGCATCCTCTATAGCGTTGATCTCGTTGTTGCTGACACAGAATGAAGGTCTTCCAGCTCGAGCGTGATGAAAAACCCTTTAACCTTCTGTGGTGAAGCCCAAACCAAACTTGTCAGATTTGTAGGGGATATCAAGAAGCTGACCCCAAATTGTGAAACCACCTTCTACTATAATAGCTTTGACATCTTTCAAAGAAACCATCTTGTGCGGAACCCTGATAGTCTTTGGAATGGCAGAAACATCTTCAACATCAGCAGGGGAAATCACTTCAAAAACTTGACAGGGTGTCTCGACGAATTCACCGTCCATTTCTACATACCGAAATGAATTCAGGTGACTTACCATGTACTCCTCTTCTCTGCAGACAATAACAATCTTCCCTTTCACAGGATATTTTAATTTCTGGTGCAAGGTCGAGGTAACAACGCCTGCCCCATAGATCCAGGGGCGTCCAATAGACAAGAATAAGCTGGCCGGATGTCCATTACATAAAAGGTGGATTCAAAGATCTGTGAACCCACTTTGATAGGAAGATTCACTTCTCCAAGTACCATTCTTTTGGATCCGTCAAAGGCTCTAACTATAATGTCACTGGGTTTTAGCACAACCTCGTTGCAATCCAGACTGTCAATAGTGTCTTTTGGCAGAACATTCAGAGAACAACCAGTATCAACTAACACATGAGCCAACATAGTGCCCCTGCATTCAATGGAGACATACATTGCCCTATTATGATTTCTCCCCTCCAAAGTTAGATCAACATCAAAGAAACCTAATCCATTATCAGTCGTTAAGCTGGAAACATAACTTCCAAATTGATCGGAAAAAATCTCTTATGGTACATGAGCAGTCTTCAAAAATTTCATTAAAGCTTGTGCATGAGCTTCAGAATACAGTATTAAAGATTGCATGGATATTTTGGACGGGGTCTGCCCTAGTTGTTCAACAATTTTGTAGTCGCTCATACGAATAATCTTCAAAACCTCTTCCATTTCTTGTCCAGAGGTGTCCTTGTCTACAACTTCTTTTGGTGCCTCTGTCTTGGTAGGATCTACCATTGGATCTTTACCCCGAGCCCCGGTAGTTGTCTAGGTAACTGTGACTTGAACAGATGGAGAGATTTCCATAGAGAAAATCCTTCCGCTTCTTCATCATCTTCATCAGACAACTCTTGTTTAATGCCATGGTAATAGACGCCAGACCCATAATTCTATGGAATAGCCTTCTCTGAGGAATACGGGATGGGCCCAGGTGTTGTAATGATTAAAGGAGCAACTTTTGGATTGGCGATAATCCTTACAGGACCCTTGAAAGTGGTCCTAAAAGGAGTACCGGTTATGACAAACAAATCTTGACACAAATTCTCAACAGACATAACTTTCTCAATCAAAATAACATGTTCATCCATTAGGCGATGAATGCATTCCTTCAGTAACCCACAACCATTGGGTTAAACTGCACTTCAATAACATTCCTTAACATAACCCAGATATAAACCGACTTGTAGCAAATTCTTCTTGACTGTTGAGAGAGGAGTAACCACATAATTTATGGAGGTAGCATACATAACGTCTTCAATAGCACTTATGCCTTTGTCACGCTTCAGCATAGGAGCAGTAATCATGTTTGGATTCTCCGGAGGGTCGAACTCAATTTCCTTGTTATCAATCATATCTTGGATTTTGTTTTTCAGGGCCCAACAATTGTTGGTGTCGTCCCCAGGATTGTTCAAATAATAGGCACATCTTGCATTTGGATTGTACTTCAGAGAGGATATGTTGGGATTAGGAGGAGGATCCCAGAGTGTTATAAATCCAGCCTTTAACAAATGTTGCAATGCTTGAGCTAATGGCATATTAATCCTGGTGAATTTCCTTCTTAGGGCGTTTGACCTACGTTGATTGCCCTGTTGTTGTTGTTGAACAGACGATGGATTAGAGATTAACACCACTCCCAAAGACTGATGGCGGTCATTCTTACTACGACTTTTTTGGCCATATACAACATTGGTTTCTTTTTTTCCAACAAAAGGGCTTCTTCACAGCATTAGAATATGTAGCAATTGGAATCCTTCCACTCTTGATACCACTTTCAACTTGCTCGCTAGTCAGAATCAGCTCAGTAAACCCTGATGAAGAACTCCTAATCAGTAGATTAAAGAATGGACCCGTCAGAGTGCCCATGAACATATCAACCAATTATCAATCAATCAAAGGAGGTTTCACCTTTCCAACTAGGTCCCTCCATTTTTGTGCATACTACTTGAACCCTTCATTTAAGCCCATGGACATGTTTTGTAACTGCACACGAGTCGGCGCTAGGTTAATATTATATTGATACTGCTTGTAGAAAGCAGCAGCCAAGTCTTCCCACGTGTGAATCTTGGTTCCTTCCAATTGATAGAACCATTCAAGTTGAGTACCGGACAAACTTTCTTGAAAGAAATGGACCTATAATTTTCGGTCAGCAGTATGAGGTTGGATTTTTCGAACATATGACCTCAAATGGAGTTTGGGGCAAGAGACCCCATCATATTTAGCAAAGATAGGGACCTTGAATTTGTGAGGGATAACCACCCCTGAAATCAAACCCAGCTTTCCAAAATCCAATCTAGGCACTTTTTGGTTTTCCACAGCTTTGAGTCGGTCTTCAAACTATTTATATTTGTCATCTGCAGGAGGATACTGTTCGTCGGATTAGTCTTCATCTCGGAACCCTGATTGTTTCTATCTTCACCCCTGACACTTCTGCCATCCTCCTCTTGGTTGTCTTCTTTATTAGAGGAAACATCTTGAACTGGTTGAGCATAACCTTTGAATCTTCTTCCCATGTTGAGGATAGCAGTCCGCTTCTTAGTCTTCTTTTTCATGGTGAGGAGTGCCATCATCTCTGGTTTCCCTTTGGCCATATTCAGAAGAGTCTCTTGAAATTGTACGTGCTGAGTTTGGAGATCCTTCACAGTTTGTTTGAGAGCCATCTTATACTAAAATAAATAGTAAATAGATAGGAAACTGTATTGGAAAACATGTTTATGAAATAATGCACGATATATGGATGCAATATTTTCAAGGACCTTAGGAGATTTAAATTTTCTAACCGAGAGGAAACAAAAACAAATACTTCGCTAATAAGTTCAAAATTACAATTTCCTCTTAGGCTTACAATGAAAAGCAAAAGGGTATCAAAGAGACAACAATATGAACTTCTAAAAGCTAAGACTCAAGTCTCCCACGAATGCTTGCTCTTCATGTCGATGTATGCATTAAGGCTTTGCTCCTCGTGAAGTTGCTTTTTCAGCTCCAACACCTTTTTTTCACTTGCATAGAATTAAGCTTCAAAGGTGTCTCGTTCTTCCCTGAGTTGAATCCACGACTTCTGTAATTCTTTGAGGTCAGTAGGCATATCTGGATGGAGGATGGTGCAAGAAACATCTCCTTTGATAACAAGCTCCATGATTACTGGTAGAATATATGGATATGGCATTATAAGGTTTTGAGCGCGACCTCGTACCCATTTGAGATAAGGCTCCAAAGGGATAGAATTCTTTTGTCCTAAAGTTTTGCTATCAACATTGTTTACCATGCCCCAAGCACGTATAAAACTTTGAGGATAACCTTGAGGATCATTTTAGTAGTTGTTTTACCCCCAAAATTTTCCCTCTCATCTTACACAAAACATACTCCTAGAGGTCTTCAATTGCTCAAGTTGACTAAGGATTAACTAGACAAATCCCCCTCCTAAGACAATAAGCCTCAAACTAGGTGTGATACGGTGGGAGAACTGACTTGAGGTTTTGCGTTTGTATTCGCAAATGTTGTGGTTTAGCAAGAGTCGCCACCGACTTTTCTTTTATCCAAAAGGAAAGGTGAAAAAGCACAGGAAAGACCTTTAGAGACGTTTTCTTGAGTTCGGGGGGGTAGATTATGAAAAGGGAAGGTGTTAGCACCATTTTCATCCATGATTTTCCATGGGCTCTTAGTTACTCTCTAGATCACTTGCTTTTGTTTGAATGTGCTTGTGGTGTGTGTTTTTGAAAGTATTTTGAAAATATAACTTTGTAATGAATCTCGTTTCTATAAGAACGCATACAAAGTGTTGTTTCGAAAATAGTTCAAAGATGTTTGTGAAATGTGTTTTTGAAAGTGATTTTGAAAAGGGTTTCCTTTGTAATGGCTCTCGTCTCTATAAGAACGCGTACAAAGTGTTGTCTTTTGAAAATGTTTCAAATGGAAGTGTTGGTGTATAAAATGTTTTTGTTGTGAGCAAGCGAGTAACTATGAGCGAATCTTCCTACTCAAAAGGTCTTAGATGTGCTTTTCCTCCTCCTTTAGATGTTACTATCTTACCATTGATTTGGTAAGAAGCCCCATCGTTGGATGTGAAGGGACAGGTGTAGGGATGTTTGTATAGTCATAGAAGGCAACTCATGGAACGTTTTAGCAATGTAGTTTTAAGGACTAGATCGTTTACCGAAGGCAACATCGAGGGTCATCGAGGTACTACGATCTTTTATCGAGGGTCTTTGCTAAAACGCCCATGTTCGAGGGACATGACTATTTTTCCAATAGGCAACAAAATGGGATTACCCTAAGGGTGCATGTGTGAATAGTGTGTTTGATTGCATGCATTTTAACCTTGATTAGGGTTGTCTATTTTGTTATTTTCATGTCTTGCCATACATCCTATTTACTAGCAATATATGAAAAGCGGATAAAATGCGAAAAAATAAAATCTAAGCTATTACATCGCTTTAGGGGGATGGGGGTACATATTTATGAGTGGGAGTTGCAAGTAAGATTAAATCCTAAGTTATTATTACAACCATATCGAATAGATCAGAATATGCAAGAAACGAAATTACTTAGAAATTTTTTCTAAATGTTTAAACAATTTGATTTTTTCAAAGTAACTTCTGACTTCTGATTTTTGATGAACCAATTTTATGCTTTAATGAAATGTGATTTCTTGAACTTGATTTTTGATTTAAAAGTAAAAGTTTGACTTTTCAGTACTTTTTACCATTTTGCCCCTTATGGATGATTTCCTTGAAAAATGATGATCCAAGACTTGGAACTCGGTAGAGGCAAAACTGAGAGTCCAGGATGAATCCCTTGAGAAATGGGAGGGCAAATTTTGGGGTACAACAGCTGCTTCTGTTCAATCTTCTTAAGCCTGAGGATGTAGATTGGCTGATCCGCCTTTCGTGATTTGAAGGCGGAAGATGATTGAACACTAGAGTGCCCAAAAATTTGCACTCGCATGGAGTAAAATTGATTGGTAATGTCGGGAATGTTGATTTATGCGCTGGGAAGTAAAGTCTAGGAGATTTTGGTTGTCCATTACTCTATTGGGGAATTAACTCTTGATTTGAAGAGGTGAAAGTAGACTACATACATGGTCAAGGTCCAGGTTGTACAACAACTTGTTGGGGAAACGTGAAATCGATCGCATCTGATCGGGTCTAGGCCTTATAGGGTTATGACATGTTAACCGGAGATAAGGGAGAAGGAACCTGGATAGTAGGGTCACTTCGAAATAAAAGCCTGGGTAGTAGGGTTGTGAGAAGGAACCTGGATAGTAGGGTTACTTTGAAATGAAAGCCTGGGTAGTAGGGCTGTGAGAAGGAACCTGGATAATAGGGTTACTTTGAAATGAAAGCCTGGGTAGTAGGGCTGTGAGAAGGAACCTGGATAGTAGGGTTACTTCGAAATGAAATCCTGGGTAGTAGGGCTGTGAGAAGGAACCTGGATAGTAGGGTTACTTCGAAATGAAAGCCTGGGTAGTAGGGCTGTGAGAAGGAACCTGGATAGTAGGGTTACTTCGAAATGAAAGCCTGGGTAGTAGGGCTGTGAGAAGGAACCTGGGTAGTAGGGTTACTTCGAAATTAAAGCCTGGGTAGTAGGGCTGTGAGAAGGAACCTGGGTAGTAGGGTTACTTCGAAATGAAAGCCTGGGTAGTAGGGTTGTGAGAAGGAACCTGGGTAGTAGGGTTACTTTGAAATGAAAGCCTGGGTAGTAGGGCTGTGAGAAGGAACCTGGGTAGTAGGGTTACTTCGAAATGAAAGCCTGGGTAGTAGGGCTGTGAGAAGGAACCTGGGTAGTAGGGTTGTGAGAAGGAACCTGGGTAGTAGGGTTACTTTGTTTGATCGTGTAGATTAGTTGAGCCGTTTGGTTTTGGGAACTGATTTTTCCTTGGCTGCCTGTAGATATGACATGTATAACCACTGGTATTGTTGGTGATAATTGTCTTTCCTAGAAAGATAACAGGGTTAGTTATATGCGATGCATGAAATGCATTGTGATATGATGTTCTCAAAATAAACGAGATTATGCCAATTGTGATATGTATGCGAATGTCATGATGTATGAGCATGGTAGTTGTGACACATCCGAGTCTGGGAAAATAAATCCTTGACTACTGCTGGAGAGAAATAGAATTCCTGACTGTTATAGAGAACAATGGCTCTTGTACTTCCGCTGGGGATCTATGAATGGAAGTGATTATGTTGGGGATCTTCTCCTTATTTGTGAATGTTCTATCGGGGAGAGACTCTGCTTGAGAATAACTCTGCGGGGAACCACTTGAAAGGTGAATTTTTGATAGCTGAAGTAATGGGCTCTGTCG